TGTATCAAGTGGTATAACCAGCTGACCTCATCAATGGTGGCCGAAGGGTTGTGGACTGATATGGATGACTATCGGTTGATTGGTGGGCTTTATAGCCTGGATGCGACTTGCTTGGAGGATGTGGATTGGGATGGTGTAGTGGAAGGAAGGAGTGGAGATGTTTGCCGAAGGCGTTGGAATCAGATGGTTATGCATTTGGGGCGAAATGGGCAGCATAAGCCGTTTGGGGAGCAAGTTGAGATCTTGGCTCAAAGATACTGTCCGCATTTGCTGGAGGCGAGAGAGATTTGGGACAATAAGCCGAGAGTTCCGTGACGTGACCGTGTGATTTGTTTGTGGTGTTTTTTCGATTTTGTTGGACAAGTCTTCTTGTTTTGTTTGAAAATTCTTGTTGTGTGGTGATGTGCTTAGCTTTTGTTTTTGTTTTATATGTTACTGTGTTTGTTGGTTTTTGGACATGATTTAATTCAGTTGCTCTTTGTGTTTGCTTTATACTTCATTCACTGCAGTAAAGTAACAAAAAGTACCCCTGAACTAATACAAACAATTGGTTATATTTGGACGAGGGAATTCAATAATCACCAACTCAAAATATAATCTACATTCCTCAGTGAGAGTTGAACAATGGCCTATCAAGTTTAACCACGAGTGAAAAAGATAAACAAGACCCGCACATTTGCAACTAAAATATATGATGAATATATTCCATTGAAGAAGGAAAAAATAAATAAATAAATTTGGACATACTACAGAGAAGTAACAAAAACCAAGAAAAATATCACCCTAGACAAGACGCTCACAATTGTTTACTAGTCTTAACAGAATAAGAAATGATGATCATCAACAAAAATGTCTTCTGAATAAAAAAACTCTTAAGCTGTCTTAGGCTTTGGTTTGATCCGCTTCACTCTCGAGTACAAGAATACTCCAGCCAGGGCTATACCCGTACCCGTACCTTTAATAATTGGCTATTTTTAATAATTGTTGTTGCTATTATGCTATATTAAGGAAAATGATTGGATTGAGACATTTAAAAGTGGACGACCAATGTTTTGTCAGCTCCATCAAATCTCTACCTTGCTCAAATTCTTCACGTCTTTACATTTTTATTTCATATTTATAT